TTCTTTTGTATTCTGTTAACACTAGTCGTTTTTCACTAATTCTTTCTCCATATCATTAAGTTCATTAGTAAGTGCTTCATGTTTATTTTTTAATTCAACATTTAATTTAATTAAATCATCTTTAGATTTTGATTCAAGTTCAAGTTGTGCTTGATTTTTCTCTACATCTCCTTGTAATGCTTCCATTTCTTTTCTTTTAAGATATTCATGATGATACAATGAAGTATAAAGTACTAACGCACGTTCATCAATATCTCCATTGGCTACTTCATCAACCATTAACAATCTATGAATACCATTCTCTTCAGCAACACTAAAAGCTTTTTCAAGAATTTCAGTTCTTGATTTATCTTTAAATTCATCATAGTCAAATGATTTATTACTAATAACATGAGCTAATGCTAAATATACTTTACCATCATTAAATGAATGTTTGAAATTTTCTACAGTAACTCCATATCCATCAGTAACTTCTCTTACCCATTCTAAAAGTGCATCTTCTTCTTTCATACTTTTTCCTTTCTTTTTATCAACTAATACACTTAATCTATATTTTCTATACAATGTATAAAGAAGTCCAAGAATTAATTTAACTCCATGAATATCTGCATCAACTACATCTTCTGCAAAACATCCTGGATTTCTTACTAACATCTCTTTTTCAAGAAATTGCATTGCTAAATGTAAATTATGAACCATTTGAATACGATTCTTTGGTCTTAAATCATATTTTTCTTTTAACGTCTTTCCTGAAAGTAATTCAAAGAAATTAATTACTCGAATTCCATCTTTAAGATCAACGGCTAAATCTTTTACTCCCATTTGTCTTTGTTGAAGTACTTCGTCCATCCATAGTGTAAATAATTTAATTTGGACTCTAACCCATCCTGCTTCTTTATTATTTCCTTGTTGTTGACTCATTTCTCTTTTCGTTTGGTTTTGATTTCCTCTTTTCAAGTTCTTTATCTTTATCAACTTCCTTCTCTTCTTATTTCCTTCCTATTCCCGTTTTTTTCCATCTATTTTCTCTCTTTTTTGGTTATTTTTATAAAATCCTTTTTTATCTTTTTTGGTGTTTAATAGTTTTTATTAGTTCTTTTACTATTCATCTCAAGTTAATTTTGAAGTTTATTTTGTAGTTTTGGAACAAAGGAAACAAAGATATTTAGATTCCATTAAGACAAATAAAACTTTTCTTTATAAAAACAAAAAGAGAAATAAGAATAACATAATTAATTTAAATCAAACAATCGTTTGAACTCATGGCTATCAACTCCACATACCCACAAAGTCATATCTTCTTTTGACATAGAAGTAGCCATAGATTCAATCTGACGAAGTACACACAAATCATTAAATTTTCTTAATGGACTTCTAAAAGAGGCGTAAATACCATTTGAACTTTTTTTAACCAAAGCAACATCTCCATAAATACGTTGAAGTTCTTGTCCCAGAACTCTATTAGATTCATTACCAAATTTATGAGTTACTTCTTCTCCATTATTAATAGTATTTTCTCCATAGAGTATTTTACCATATTTAATAATGTCATGAACATATGACTCTAATTCTTCTTCTTTTAAACCATATATTTTTGATTTTTGAATACTCTTTATATTACCTTCTAAAATTGAATCAAATTCTTCAAAAGTTAATTGTGCTTTAATAAGAATTATTGTTTTTCCATAACGAATGTTTACAATTTTCTTTTGCTCTAAGTCTGCTTCAAAAATAATAGAAAAGGCTTTACTTTTCTTTCCAACTCTTAATGAGTTAGACTCTAAAAAGTCATAATCAAATAGTCTAGATCTTCCTCCTATTCCTTTTCTTAATTTTCTTGCACGTTCAAACTCTTCTCCAAATATATCAATTTCATCAGAAAAATCAGTACAATGAATACCAATTTCTAAACAGTCATTGTCTAGTAATGAAAAATGAATGGCATCATCAAGAAAAAAAGTTTTTGTAGAATCAATAGTAATAATATCTTTTGAAGTTATATCTGTTCTTGGTAGATTTCCATATTTAAGCATAATTTCATTTATTATTGGTTTTCTTATTTCTCTACTATTAGTTTGATTATTTGGTATTACCTCTTTATTAGGTATTTTTATTTTTTCTTTCTTTGCTTGTGGAATAAAAAGATTATTTCCTCTTCTACTATACCTTCCAATAACTCGTTTTATACCTTTTTCATTTGTTGGAGTAATTGGAAGACTCTCATTATCTGGATAAAAGATTCCAGATTCAATAATTCCAGTAATATCTTCAATGTCAGTTGGATTATTAATTGAACGTACTTCTCCAACAGGAATTAGTCTTAAATTCTCAAATATTCTTTCTTCTTTAATTGCTTCTTGAATAACATCTTTTTCTTCCAACTTATTTTGTATTAAATAAGGCATTACATTCCCTCTTTGATTAAAGAATTTTTTTATTTCATTAATACTTAAAAGTTGTCCTGTGAAATGAACAATTGAAGTAGTCCATTTAGATAAAGGGAATATAGTTATTTCAACTATATCACCTTGTATTGAACAATTACGATTTTTTTCTGGTATATATACGTCATAGTCTAAATTATCAAGAGAACAAGAACAAAAGACAAAGCGTTGAATAACTTTAATTTTTCCAATAGTAACAAACATAAAATAATTAAAAATAATGTTTTCAAGTTAATTAATTTTTATTTTATAAAAAAATCTTTGAAAATGACTTTTAAATTTTTTCTTTTCTATATTTTTAATAATTTATTAAAAAACTAAATTTTAATTGTTATTTAAAATGATTGAAATTCCTCTAAACGTTTTCTGTTTATTATTGACTGATAAATGACATAAATTCCTAATGGTATTAATACTATACCAGCAATACATACAACAACTAATACAACATTTCTTGCTATTCTATTTGTCATATTAGCATAATCATTGAAGTCATAAT